ATCCACCTCATTCTCAGGGCCAGGCACAGTGACCTCTGGCTCCCTGCTCCCAAAGCCAAAATGATCATGAAACGTAAACATTTTGAATTACTTCAGGACACCAAAGTAGTCATGACAGTGCAACTAAGACTCATAAAAGAGGACTTTAAGAACTGCTTCAGCAAGTGGCGAACAGGGTGAGTGTTAGAAGGGGGTGGATTCTAAAGGGGTTTAATGGCAATGTGTCTTTTACTGTAGTAACTTTTTAAAAATTTAAACACTCACCATGGTTTTCAATCACATCTTGTATTATATGCAACAGTATGTATGCATTTTGTGTGGAGAAGGCCCCAGTTTTCATTAGATTCTCAAATACATACAAGATCCAAAAAAGAGCCATGATTCTTTCACCAATTTATCTGGCAGAAAGCACAAGGTAAACATGACTAATATGTATGTTGCTTTAAAAACACTGTGGCAGCCAGGGCTGGGGATTTAGCTCAGGGGTTCTGCTGCCAGCCTCGCAAGCATAAGGTCCCGAGTTTGATCCCTAGTACCAAAAACAAAACAACACCCCCAACAACAACAACAAAAAAAACACTGACAGGCAGAATACAAAAGAAGGGCAAAGCTATCATTTATTTCTATAAAAATATTTGTGAGAAAAAAATTAGGTTACATCAATTTAAAATACTAAGTTTGTTAAAGGTCAGCATTGCTTTCATTCACATATAAAACTTAATTTGAAACAGCCCACAGACATAACTAAAACTAAAACTACAGTATAAGGAGAAAAATCCTTATGACTTTGGGTGGACAAGAATTTCTTAGGACAAAGAAGAAATATCCTGGAAAAAAACTGATAAATTGGACTTCAGAAAGAAACTAAGACCTTCTAGGCAAGCCACCAACTGAGAGAAAACCATCCATATTATGAAGGAATAGATGACTTACAGAATACATACAGAGCTCTTAGAACTCAATAGAAAATGAACAAAGAGATCAATAAAACATGGCAAAAGATGTGAAGGACATTTTATAAAGGAAGATATACACCCAATAAAACATTTGACAAGACTCTCTGGATCATTAGTCATCAAGAAAAGAGAAATTATAACCACAGTGAGCCCGGTGTGTTGGTGCATGCGTGTAATCCCAGCTATTCATGTGGCTAAGGCAGTAGGACTCCAAGTTCAAGGCCAGCATGACTAACACCTAGACTGTGCCTCAAAATAAAAAATAAGAGTTGAGAACATAGATCCATCCCTGTAGCACAAATACACATATACATGCACAATCAAATACCATTAAGCAACCACTAGAATGGTAGAAAGCAAAAAAAACAAAACAAACAAAAAACCTCTATACCCCGAAGTGGTGGTGAGGAAAAAGAACAAGTAAAATTCTTCCTGCTGCTAGTAAATTGCAAAAAAAAGGATAAATACACTTTAGCAAATGGTCTGATGGATTTGTTACACAGCTAAATACACTCCTGCACATGACCCAGCAATCCCACTGCTAAATATTTACCCAAGACAAATAGAAGCACAGCACACATAAATATTTGTGGTACTTTATTCATAATAGCCCCCAACTACAAACAACCCCTAATGTCAGACTAGAGAATGAGTAAATTGTAGTAATACAAAGAAGTACTACTTGGCAATAAAAAGATTTTATTTACTGATACAGAAAATGTTATACTGGCACAGCAATCAAAGTACATACTGTGTGACATCATTTATGTGAAAAATCTAGACTACGCAAAACTAATCTTTAGCACTGAAAAGCTGATTTAATAGTCACAGACAGGAGATAATGGCAAAGAGCAAGAAGGGACTTTTTAGAGTAAATTAAATGGTCAATAACTCACAGAGGTACAAACAGTTATTAAAAGGTGCACTTAAAATGATGTATTTACTATATATAAATTACACCTCAATACAGGTTGTTTTTTTTAAAGGATCTGTGACTTAGAACTTTTAACATAAAAAGGAAAAGATAAAATTAGAAAATAATTAGGTGAGGGTAACTTTCAAAGTCAAACTCAAAAACCTTTAGAATCACTTGGAACTTTCTCTCCTAAGTGCTTGTCACAAAACTGTTTTACAGACAAATACATTTTAACTTCCAAACAAACTGCCCAAATAAAACACTGTGCCCAAAGACTAAAAGAATTATTCACAAAATAAGGAGCCTAAAAAAAATACAGATCCACTTCCAATCACAGCTGGGTAAATGCCCCCCAGCCCTTGTGACCATCCTGTACCTGCCTGCTGTATTACCTGGGGAGAGGCCAAGCCCTGAGCATACGGCGGCAGGCTGTTGTTCTGATCCATGATGCTCACTTTCTTCAGCACTCAATCTTTTCCTAGAGCATCCCCAGCACACTCTTCTTAGAAGCCTCCTCAAGTCTCTGGATTATCTTCACACACCAAAAAAGAATGATGGTGCTTAGAAAAAAACAAATGTGAAGGTTAAGGTAAGACACAGTTAGCCTGTATAGTTTTATAACACTTCTGCAGGTACACAAAACAAATTAAGAAAAACAATGAGGCTATTTGGGAATGTATTTTTTTGTATTACAATCCCAAAGTCCATTCCCTTCTTTCATGTTTCTTGTGATGATGCTCAAAATTACCCAAAGGTGTCATAAGAAGTGTTAAAAACTTTCGAGGAAAAGCACTTAGAGAAAAATAATTCTTCAGCATGGTGTACTATCACAGTAGAATGTAAGTACTGTGTACATATCCAGCACTGTTAGGCCAAGTTCAGCTTTTTAAAATATACCACTCAATTTTATACCCTACATGATGTTTTAGGCATAAAGTTCAATAAATATAGAAATGGACCCAATATACCTTAGTGTGATCATTTATTGAGACTGTGGAAGTATGCAGATATAGTAATACCTAAAACATTTTAATCAAGGCAATAAGATTATAGAACACAATAATGTAAACCATGCCTATATCTGCTTTGCATAAATCATCATCTCTATTGCATATGCATCTGAAATTACTTTCCAATAATGACTGCTAAAAAACTGTGGGGAAAGGGGGTTTCTAGGAATGGGACATAGGGCCTGAAAATCCAGAGCTACATCCCTAGCCCTTAAAAGACCCCTTTTCTCTTTACTACCAGCTGTGTTCAGATAGACCCATAACTTGTTCAAGGATGCTGTGAGAATTGACAGACTCAACACAAGATTGACCTAGTCATTAATTGTATAACATAATAAGTATAGGCCAAATATTAGGTATTACCATTATTAAATTTCACTTCAAACATTTATTACCACCTAATAAGATATTCTCAAATAGAACTTACAGGTCTCAAAGTTACAGGTTATAGTCCAAAGACCCACACTCCATTCATTGGTACAGAAAAGGTATTCAGACATTTGCTGAAGCAACCAAAGAATGTGACAATCACTTGGAGAAAGCAAAGGACTCCAAAGACTATCTATCCTACAAACTCATCACTGAAAAGGAGACCAGAGAAAGAAAGAAAGCTCTGCTTTTGAAAATAAATGTATCAGAGCTATAAGAAAAATTACATTTTTTTGGACATTGTGGTCCCAGCTATTCAGTGCAGCATCTATTAAGATGAAAATACTCTTCCTGGATCAAACAGTTCAACATAAAGTTATGCAAATGCCATGCACGGTGGCGCGCACCTGTTCCTAGTGCTTGGGAGGCTGAGTCAGAAGGATCACTGTGAGTTCAAGATCAGCCTGGATCACATAGTGTGTTTACACCCAGCCTAAACTACATAGCCAGGAGACCCTATCGCAAAAAAAGAAAGGAGTTTTAGATGCTCTTACAAAAGGCAATAAGATCAGTTACAGGATTCTGATGTACAGCGTGAGCAGATCTACTCTGAAGCTGCATTGGTAAACTGGAGAGGAGAAAACTGGGGGTTGACAGTTTAAGGAGTAATTGCTACGATTGAGCCAAGAGATATGAGGGCAGGATTTAGGGTCTTAAGAATGATTATCCACAACGTTTGGTGATCCTGACCAATTTTTGTAAACTTAAGGTCTACAGAAGGAACTGGTTGGTAACATAAGACAGGATGACTCTGGGTAGGCTATTCAGAGCTCATCTCTCATTCCCAGCGATGGCACGCACAGACATCATTGCTCACCAGTATCAAAAACACACACACGGTCATTACTGCACGCACTTATCCTTTGAAAAGAACTGTTTGCAAAGCCTCCATCTTTTGGAACTAAAGCATCAAACTGGAGACGTTTGGAAAACAGTCAAATTAATTCTGCATAACCTTTTAGTGGCCCTATAACTCAATAATCTTTTCCCCAAAAAGGCCATCGAGAGTTTCCGGACACCACTCTCGCCTGAGCCTAGAGAAGCAGACTTTGTAAATAAAGTAGTGCGTGTATGCTTTAACTTAAGCGAAACTATGCTCAAAGTCAAGTATGAAGTACAACTTTATAATAAATCCACGCCAGCTAGCAGCAAAGCGGGCAGCCACAGGCTTGGGTGAAACTTGCCTTCCAACAAGGACCAAAGGGAAGAAGGACAGAGCAGATTTGGGGTGTTACATGTGCAGACTGTCCTAGTACCCTACTCGCGAGACCGAAACCACAGTACAGAAGGCACCCAGCTGGAGTCGCAGGCCAGCGGCGGGTACAGGCCGGAGGGGCGGCAGCGCGAGCGGGTCCCTGCAGGCCTGGGCGTCCATTCCTCTCCCCTCCCCGCCTTCGTCTTCTGGCCTCGCTGCAGTGGTCACCTTTACCCAAGGCCTCAGAAAACAAGAAAAGGTAAAAAGGCCGTTACCTGGAGCCACTGCGGAGATGTCGACAAGCCCGCGGAAACGAAATTAAACCACAGGCTGCACAGGCGCGAGCCACGGAGACCCTTCTCGACCCCACTGAACTCCTGGCGCACGCTGATGACGCCACTTCCGCCAGTCCCAGCCTCGGCTTCGGCGGGCTGAACTCCCTAAACCGCGATCAGGGAATTTGCAGGCTCCGGTCCTTCCGGGATTTCCAGAGCCTTCGGTGTAAGGGTAACCAGAGGCGAGACAGTTCTGGGGCGGGCTGCGACGCCGCAGCCTTTGCTGATTGGTCGTTGTGGGACCGAGGAAGATACCGTTATTTTAAGAGGTTGAGTTTTGTTTTGTTTTTTAACCAACTGACGATGTTACTTTTTGCCTGCACGTATTCCTTACAATGCTCGCATTTAATGTTAGCTAATCAAACTTGCTAAAAAGGAAAAGCAAAACTGGATGGCTTGTGCTTACAAAATCATTTTAATTCCGCTACTACCATCTCGTGCACGTTTTTCTTGTCAAGAGACCGCTGTAGTTGTTTTTTTTTAATCTTATTGAGTTTATTGGTACTTTTTAAGTATACAGTACAGTTACATTCATCATTGGGATGTTGTACTTTTACATGACAGATCTTGGTTCTCATTTTTCTCCATACCCCTGCCCTCCCTTCACCCCCTGTGTAATTGTTTCATAAATGGTTTGGCTTACCTTGATTTCTCTCTCCCATGGCTCATTTAAGTGTATTCATATATGGTAATGCATATTAGTTCCCTTTGTATTTTTCATTATTAGTGACTTTCTGGGTTCTTTAAGGACAAGAAATGCATACTTTTTTCGTATTCAGTACCTGGTACCGTGTTAACCTAGGGAGAGACATGAATAAGTACCGCAGTGTACCTCTCTGTCCACAGGTAGTAAAGAAAATACTTTGTTTTATGCTCTGTTTAGTTAAAACGAGAAATTTTAAACAATTTTCAAACTCTTTTCCGGTTCCAGAATCGCATGCACATATCACTCCACTTGACATTAGCCAGTTGTATGCTTGCATTTTTGGCTGAAAAGGTAACATTCATATAAGAAAGTCCACAAGACATGTACAGATTAACAAATAGTTGTAAAACGAGTAAAGAAACAGAATATTTCCAGCACCACGATACCCTGCCATAGCGAAAAGGCTCTTGCTCCTCTAGGAACTCTGAATCACGCAGCAGGTATTCCTCTCTACGCGGTGTTCACGTCGAAGTGTCTGCCCTGTGTCTCCTATCTAGCTCCGGCTGGTTCGTTTCTTAGTTGTGAACTGTCCCTTACGAGCACGATACCTTGGTTAATTTATTCATTCTGCTGTTTATGGCAATTTGACTCGTGTCCAGTCTTGAGCCTTACAAGGACATTGCCATTTGAATACTTTGTGCGAGTCTTCTGCTCAGTGTACCCCAGTGTGGCATCGCAGTCTTGAGGTGTGTGCATAGACGGTCTGTAATCCCGTGTCCATTCGAGTCGCTGTAGCTCCACATTTTGGCCAAATTTTCTGTACCGTTAGACGTATACATTTTTGTCTGCCAATCATGAACTCGAGCATGTTCTTAACGGGGAAAAAACATACACAGACACAATCTTTATGCCCTGCCACCCGTCTTGGAATAGGTGGGGCCAGGCTCGCAACAGATGAGACACAGAGCGAACCTCCAGGAGCAACGACGAGTGCCAGCTAGAGGGGCGCCTGAGAGAAGGCGGAAGCGCGTGACTTCCGGTCTCGGCCGCCATCTTGCTGTGAGACAGCAGGAGAGGACCCGGTCCCAGCGATGTTGTCCACATTCTCGTACTCGGGTCCCGGCAGAGAGCTGGGGATGGAGCCGTACAGCGCCGCTGGCCCTTTGCAGCAACGCTTTTCGCCCTACGCGTTCAACGGAGGGTAACCACCTGGGGTCGCGGCGGGCGGGCCGTCGGGTTTCCGGGGGGCTGGCGTTCCACTGGCTGCGAGGGTCGTCTGGTCCGCTGTCGCCCTGCCTCTGTGCCTTTCCGCTATGGGACATCGAGAGACCCAAGCAGCCTCTGCTCCGGGGACCTTAGCATTCGTGGGGTCTAAACACGTTTCTAACGCCAGAGCAGAAGAGTTCAGCATCCGGAACTTGAAAGTGATGGTTGGATTGGCCCGGGTTGTCGAATGCATGATTGTCTGTAGTTGAAATGTCTAATCTCTTTCAAATAAAAAGCAGATTGGTTGGGCAAGTGCTTAGATCACTGCTTTTTCAACATTTAGGGAAACAGAGAAGGGCCCTTTTAATGCGTGTATTATCGTATGTTTGGTTCAGGTTGCTTTTGTTTTTATTCACTAGCTTTATATTAATGCTTTTCTCAATAAAAATAAGATTGTAGAAAGACGCACTAAGGACTCGTAACAGAGCTGTAATTTTTTTTTTTTTTTTTTTTTTTTTT